GCATAAAGGAAAAATTTTGAGAATAATTCACAAGGGGTAATCAATGGTTTTTAATGATTGGTTGACTCAGGAAGGAAGATGGTGTCCAAGTTGGCCCCTAGCCCTCTGACTTAGAAAACTAGGTGAATGATGACTCATTCACTTGGTGAAGGAAAATAAATAGAAAACCAAAAGTAAGTTGAGGTGACAGGCAATTTTAGTTGGGAAAACACTGAAATACCTACAGTATTTTGAATTGGAGATATCCAGAAAGCAGTTGAATATCTCAGCCTGGAGAGCAAGAGAATGGTTCTGAGCTGAAGGCATAGTTGTTCCCTTGGGAATGTGTAGAGTGAGAAAAGAGTAATATTAATGTGTTAGCCTCCTTATGAATATGCTTGTATCTAAATGGTGAGAAATTTCTGAAGAAAAGAAAATCTAGTACTGTTATTCTTAGATGAATTTTTCTTTTTTGGTAAACAACAGTGAAAATTCTAAAGATAAAATTATTGGGTCAACAGAGAGAACTGATGATGGACTCCACAATTTGCAACACAGTATATTCTTTTTTAAAAAATTAAAGTTTATTGGGGTGACAATTGTTAGTAAAGTTACATAGGTTTCAGGTGTACAGTTCTGTAATACATCATCTCTATATCACATTAAACACAGTATATTCTTAAGGAAGGAATATTTGGATAATAATGATACCAGATTTGAGCACCTATTATCTACTAGATAGTTTGGCATTCTCTCCCCCTCCGCCCCCAACCTCCGAGCTGTTGTTCTCAGTCTAGTTGTGGAGGACGCAGCTCACTGGCCCGTGTTGGTATTATGATCATGGCGCTCTACCCGGCTGAGGCAGTCAGTCACCGGCCATTGGAACAGCCACTCATGGCGGTTCAAGGCAGCGCTCGCCTGGCTGCCAGCCACTCACGCTGGCCTCCGGCCATTCACAGCAGCCCAACTCCAGGTTGAGCCATTGTTCACAATCTTAGCTGTAGAGGGTGCAGCTTACTGGCTCTGTTTACTAGCCCATGTGGGAATCGAACCAGCTCGGCAGCCCTGCTGTTCAGAACTTGTGCTCTTACCAACTGAGCTATCCAGCCGCCCTGGTGTTCTTTTTAATTAAGTAGCACATTCGCAAAAATTAAAACCCTACAATGTTGACGAAGTACGTAATGGAGAAACGTAGTTTTGCTTATATTGCTATAAGATCTGTGTAGACCCACTTCAATGACTCTTGCCTGTGTATTGAAATGGGGCAAGTGTAATATAATGCTTGATTATGCATATCTAAGATCTCCCTTAAATGCCACTCTATCTTTAAAAAAATAAAACCTACCACTCGGATCTGTGAAGAAAATATATCTTTATTTATTTATGAAGAAATTGATCTAAACTTCTCATGGGCTTTCATCACTCTTGTCCTTTATTTAACTGGGAAATTATAAGTTATACTTATTTATTATTTTTATTTATTTATTTATTTTTAGCTGAGCCATCCTGCCACCTGTTGGCAGCTCAGCGGCAACTCAGCTTGGGCTGGACTCGAACCGCTGTTGCTCAGAGCTCAAACCCTTGAGCGAGCTCTTAACCAACTGAGCCACTCGGCCGGCCCTAGTTATACTTATTTATTAATGCCATCCAGTTACTTCCAGTTAAAAGTCCCTTTTGGGTGAATGCTGAGTCTTTTGGATTTTTTTCCCCATTCCATATTCCTGAGGATGGCATATAGGTAGGTGATCATACTTTTTGATTTGCCTGGAAGAGTTCCAGTGTGTGCCTTTTATTCTGACAATTTTGTTTGTTTGTTTGTTTGTTTGTTTGTTTGTTTTTAGCTGATCCATCCAGCCACCTGTTGGCAGTTCAGCGGCAGCTCAGCTTGGGCTGGGAATCGAACCGCTGTTGCTCAGAGCTCACACTCTTGAGCAAACTCTTAACCAACTAAGCCACTCCGCTGGCCCCTATTCTGACAATTTTTAATAGAGCTCCCTTCTACTCTCAGAAAGACCCCAGTTTCAATAATCACTCACCCTAAATATAGGGGCATAACCATAGAGGCAGGCCAGAGGTGGTGGGAGGGGTGAAGTTGGGGCTTGAAGTGTCTGAAATCCACAAGTTGCCTCTGTATTTCTACTGATTTGTACTATAGGTTTCAAGACTTGTTGTGTACCTGGGCTGGACTCCACCAATGAAGTCATTGGTGAATTGATGGCCGTATTTAGGGCCTGAGGTCTTCCATTGCTGACTGTTTTCTCCCCTTTGCTTTTGTTGCTACTCCAAACCCCTTGAGTCTCATTGAAGTCCTCCATCCAGACTTTGATCTGGTTGCCTTTCTGCAGCCTTTGTGGGTGTCACCTCACCACAGTAGTCCCATGCTAGGTGTTTTGGATCTAAATTTGACCACCTTCTTCATTGCCTTTGGGAACTTAGTATGTGTTCACAATGTACAGGAATTAAGGGACCCTCAGGAGGCTAACTGAAGCTCCTTCTCTGCTTGAATATCCCAAGCTCTTATTTTTATGTTGAGTTTTCACCCTGTGTGGATGTCTCCTCCTAGAGTTCTAAACAGGGAGTTTGGCACAGGCCTGCTCTACTTTTGGCTTTCTCTTCCCGTCTTCTAATGCCATCTTCCCACCTATTACCCTCATCTGCAGATTTTGGGCTTGAGGGAGAAGAGTCAGTTCCTGTAGTCTGACTGCTTGTTTCCTAAGCCTCTGTCCCCTTTCTCTTTGAAGTAATCCTCTAGACTGGAAGGTATCGGGGGAGGGATCCATCTTTGGTCACATCCTGAGTTCTTTCTGTATACTGTGGCTAACAGTAAAACTCTGTGGTTGTGTCCACCAAGCCTTGATCTGCATATGTTAGTAGGAACTTGAGGAAGGTAGCAGGATGTTAAATGTGGCTTTTATGTAGTCTTAGAGTTTGGACAGTGACCACAATAGATGAAAACAAAACTAAAATGACAATATCTCCCACCCCCTATTACGTGTAGAACCGTCTTGGTAGGGTTTATAAAAGGTGGCGTCAAACCCAATTCTTCCAGCATTAGCCTATTACCAATCTTCAAGCTATTTAAGCAAAGGTTAAAAATTCACTGACAGGATGAAATGATGAAAATGTTTATTTCTTTGATAAGAGTTATGGGTGTCATATATAGGAGAGGTGGAGACTTCTCCCTCACCTCAACACAAGAGAGGAAGCTCCAAGAGAACCATTTGGAAAGTTTGACATATGTCCTCTGGAATTTGGTCTCTGATTCACACCTGAAGTTTAAAAGCAAGAGCGTCTGTTAGTTGCTTTATAATGACAGAATAAAGAGGTAGCTAAGTGTATTTTCAGAGTTTGACACAAGAAAGATTTATGCATAATACACAGGAGGGAGCCAGTTTTGGATCAACTTGAACGGGATCATGCCCAATATGACTTCTGCAAAAACCAAAGTAAACTTGATTGAAAAAGAATGGGAGTTCTATCATCAAATACAAAAACTGAGGAGATCATAAATAGCAGCAAATGAGACAGCCTCAGGTATAGGGAAAGGGAAATCATATCATTGAACCCTTCAAAATACTTCAGGTTTGAGAGTCAGCATTTGGTTATCTGTCCTATCCAAAGGGCACAAATGGCATATTATAATAGTCAAGATCAAGAAAGACCTTCTTGTCCCTTCCTACAGCTTTCCCCAACTCCAGTGCCAGATAACCCCAAAGAGTAGTTACCAAATGGGAGGGGGAAAAGAACAAGAAACAGAGAAGAAACCCACCATAGTTGCTTTCCACACTGCAGGTTGTGAGTCTAAATCAGGTTTAAGTTGGGAAAAGGAAGAAATTTAGAATGGATGATAAGAGTTTGATGTTGTGATATTATACTGGGCTTTCTGTTACCTAAAAATAGCTATTTATTATAAGAGAATACCACAAAAACAATAGAATACACCTGAAAGTTCATTCAAGGGCAAAAAGTACTATTTTGACAGGATGAATTTAAAGGGAAAATATGAAAGGATAAAATTGTGTTTTGATTATTGAGTTCAATTCTTCAATAAATGTGTAATAGGAATTTAGAAAAACATCTTACATTTGGTTTTCAACTCCATTGTCTTCCTAGGGACTCAGAAATCCCATTTTGGTGGTCAAAGGTTGAGCTTTGATCCTTTTGTATTATTCCTCTTGTAATAGTTAATTCTGTCCTACACATTTGGGTAGAATGGGTGGGGTGGGGGGCAGTCTCATTTGTAAAAGTGTAAAAGGGAAAAAGCATATTAATTTTTTTAAAGTATTATCTGTTTCTTGAGCTCCTTACCACAAGAATCCTGGGAAACAGGATTGCTATTCCTTTTGAGGTAACTAGTACTCAAGACAGGTTAAGTAACTTTCCCAAGGCCACTCAAGTGTGAGTAGCAGAACTGGGCTTTCAAACCAAGTTTGCCTGATTCTAAACACTATGCCTTGTCCTCTATACATACTGTCTCACACTGATAAATGTATAGATATATTGCCTATTAAACTATTTGTTCATATAGATATGGTAACATTTTTTTCTGACCAGTTGTATTTTTTTTCTTACAGGATAATTGATTACATATAAATATCCATATTTTAAGTATTTGAGGAATCTCAAAAGTTACTGAAAGATTAAAAGAATACCATTTACAGAGAACAAACTGATGGTTGTCTGATGGGAGGGAGGTTGGGAGCTGGGTGAAAAAGGTGAAGGGATTAAGAAGTACAAATTGGCAAAAAAAAAAGTACAAATTGGTAGTTACTAAATAGTCACAGAGATGTAAAGTACAGTATGGGGAATATAGTTAATAATATTGTAATAACTATATATAGTGCCAGGTGGGTACTAAACTAATTGGGGGATCACTTTGTAAATTATATAAATTTAATAGTGTAACCACTATGCTATACACCTGAAACTAATATAAAGTATAGAATGTCAACTGTAATTGAAAAATAAAAATTAAAAATAAATATAAGTAAAAGAATACCACTTATTTGTTCTTATTATAGAGTGATGACATTAGCAGATGAAAATTTTCCTCCAAAACCAGAGAGTACTTCAAATTCAGAATCAGGTAATAAATAGTGAAACTAATCATTTTCATATTTCTGTATTTCTTTACTTTTGTAACAAAACAGTATATATTAAGAAAATTGGTAGCCCAGAAAACTGAGTACTTTTTAGCTTGGTTGTATTTAAGAAATGAAGATATGTGAGGCTAGTAAGTGGGTTTATCACTACAGCACCCATCATTAATTCATTTAATAAACATTTATGGAGTATGTACTCTGTACTAGGCATTGCTGTATATGCCAGTGGGTAGTGATATACATTCCCTGCCCTCATAAGTTTCAGTCATAGGAGAGGAAGATAATTAGTAAGCAGATATATTGGAGTTATATGTGATGATTGAAAAATGGAAAGATCAACAAAGCACCTTGCATTATAGGCACTCTATTACTAGATTATTATTAGAATAAATTTAGCAAGACATTTATAACCTTTTTTAACCTCTGCTGTATCTCAGATTTATATTTTCTTTACTTCATACAAGTTTTATAGCATTCATTTGGGGATAAACTTGAAAAATTGCTGATTTTGCTTCTAATGGGTATAAATGTTTATATCAACTAAAAAAAAATTTGTGTGTGTACTTTCACTTTAAGAAGTCTTAACGAGCATTTACTAAATGCCAGGTATTATGTTAAGACTTGTGGGTATAAAAATGATTAAGATCGTTTCTGTTCTAAGGGAAATTAATCTAATGATAAAAACTAAACTTGTAGAAGCACACTTCCTTGGAAGGAATAGCACCTATGATTTCGGAGGGTGAGCAATAGAAGGATTTGTTTTTATAGATCAAAGAGTGAGGGAGCTTGTGAACAAGAGAAGAAAGGTAAAGAATGGAAAAAATGGTAAGAGTACCAAAAACAATCATGGTTTACCTAAGTCTTTTCCAATAAAATGTTTTTCTTTGGCTGTGGAAATATTTATTTATAAAGCCTGGCAGTAAGGCAGAATAGTGACTTTGGAGTTATATGCTTTTGTATTCTTCCTTTTATGTGGTTGATTGACTTAAAATTAAATAAATCACATCTTGCTCTAGAGGTATTTTTTACACATTCCTTAACTCAACAAATCCAACTGTATTCCAGTTGGTTCAGGCTCTTTACTAAACGTTAAAAAAACCAAGAAATGCCTCTATTCCTGCCTTCAAGGAGCCAATAATCTAGTAATAGAGACAAACGAATAAACAAGAAATTATTTGGCAGTCAACTCCTGCTCAGTCGCCTTTGCAATCTTACCTATTGCTATTAGCCATTAAATGTGGGAGTTCTTCAAGACTAGTTTCCAGATTTTAATCTCTTTTATGTATAGGTGTCTTGTCACAAATACTGCACATGCTTGTACTACTGCATGGGAAATATTTATACTAAAAAATTATTCATTGTTTATCTGAATTTTAGGTGGTCAACCTGCATTTTATCTAGCAGCCAATTAACCTCTGTAATGAAGCTGGGTATATATAAGTAATACAGGGATCATAAAAAACAGGATTTTGCATGTCAGGTTAAGGAGCTTGAATTTGAACTTGAGGGCTGTGGAAAGCCTTTTTGAAGAGTTTTAAGCAGATAATATTAGATATTTATTTTAGGTATACAATGTGACTACAGAGGGAGGTGAATTGAAAAATTATTGGAATAATCTAAAGGAAAATATTTTGATGTCTTAAATCAAGGTACTGGTGTTAAGAATAAAAAAAGCCAAATTTGCAATATTAAGTACATATAATAGGTAAAATTGGCACATCACAAATAGTCAATAATTATTGCTTTGAGTTGAGTTTGGAGAGTGAGGAAAAGGGAAGAGTCAAGACTGAAGAGGGACTATAATAGGGGCCAGAGAGGGAAGATGTTCATGCCTGCTGTACTGAGGTCCAGTAAGGAAGGACAGGAAAGGTTTCTGCTCATATTGGTGGGAGCTGAAATTAGATTGTGTGGGTGTGGGAGTAAATAGGAGGAAAAGAAGTTATGTTAGTATATCTGGACAGCTCTGTGAAGAAACTTACCCATGGATAAGAAGAGACAGAGGAAGTAGCAGGAAGGGGTGTGGGATACAGATAAAAATTTTGGTCAATGAAAGAGACTTGAGCATGTTTTAAATGCTGATAGAAAAGTTGCAGTAGAAAGAGCCTGAAAATACAGGAGAGTGGAAATGAAAAGATAATTAATGAAGAATTTAATCACATATATTTTCTCCACTAATTGGAAAGTAAGTCTTTTATATAGAGTTTTATTTATTCCTGTAAAACCTGGAGCTCTTGAGATACAGATAGGTACTTTAAAGAATACTTTTTCCTATCTATAGCAAGTCAGATTATGCAGCATATATTAATATCCTATATTAATAATCTAAAACAATTACAAGGCAGTTATTCAATTAGTTTTTTTTTCCAAATTTCAGTTATCTTTCCTGTACTTCCAATTAATGATAGGTTAAATAATTAAAATACCAAAGTATGTTTTTATTTATAGATCATGCAGCTTGTGAAGTTGTACTTGCTAAGAAAACTTACCCTTCAATCCCTGAAAAAACAAAGAAAAAGGCAAGTATTAAAGAAGAATACCTACATAAACCACAGATTTCATTAAGATAGGACATACTTTTTTTTTTAAGATTTTATTGGGGAATTAGGGGAGGGGAACAGCATTGGGGAATCGAGGAAGGGGTACAGACAAGTTGCTGTCCTTTTGTTCTTCAATCCAGTTGTGGAGGACGTTGCTTCACTGGCCCATGTTGGTATTATCATTGCGCTCTTCCTGAGTGAGGCAGATCAGTTGCCTGTCACTGGATGGCCACTCATGGTGGCTCTTGGCAGCTCACGGTAGCTTATGGGAGCCCACTGCAGCTCCACTGCAGCCTATGCCATCACTGGTGACTCATGGCAGCCCAGCTCCAGGTTGAGCTGTTGTTCACCATCTTAGATGTAGAGGGCGCAGCGTCACTGGCCCTAATGTGGGATTCGAACCGGGGCCCTGCTGCTCAGAGCTGGCGCCCTGAGCCAACTCTTAACCATCATGCCACTCGGCTGGCCCAAGATAGGACATACTTTTAACCAACACTCTTATAGAAATTATGTTTCAGCTGTGTAAGTCAATAATTTAAAACATTTTTGGAGTTTTGCAACTAGATTACATTATTGTTTCATGAATATGTACTCTATATAAGCTTAATGGAAGAGAATTAAAATTTATAATTTTTCCAACTTTTTTTGGATAATTGGATGTCTATTAATCATTAGAGGTAAAAATAAGCATTTGCTATGTAGCCAGAGCAGTTTCATACTGAGGGATACATATGAATTATTACAGTAGGCCTGGAATCTACAGGTCTTTGGACTTTATTTATATAGTAGGAGTAGCTGTTTGAGTGGTTACTCAATGCTAAGCATTATTCTAAGCAATTTTTCATTAATTATATCTTTCTTTATAGCATTTCTTTCAGGTAAGTTTTATATATATAAAACATTATATTTGTTTTGTTTTTACCTTTTTTATAGCTGAGGAAAATGAGGTTAGATGTTAACCGATATGTTTGAGGAGCTTGTGGCAGGTCTTTCTAGTTCTGAAACCTGTACTGTTCTCACTACACACTGTCATTGTGTACATAGGGGAGCAAATTGAAAGGGCAAGAGTGTCAGCAGGAAGACTCATTAGTAGGAAGTTGGAAGGATTTTTGATGTGAGATTGTGGTGGCTTTGACTAGGATGTAGGAGGGATAGAGAAATATGCATGGATTCAAGATAATTTTGCCTGTAGAGTCCATGGGTTGAATATAGAGGATGAAGGTGTGAGCTATCAAGAAAGACTTCTGGGTTTCCGTCTTAAGCAGTTTTAGTGGATAAAGGTGCTATTTAATGTCATAGGAAAGGCAGGAGGTCTGGGGGCACATTAAGATGAATATTTTAAAAGAGCCATGGCTATAAATCTACAGGTCAGGAAACTAGAAGAGGAGTATTATAGATATTTTTAAATTCATGGAAATGGATCAAATCCCCTGCACTCTATAGAGTGCAGAAGAGAAAGGGGTCCAAGATCAATCTTTGGAAAACTCTACATTCAAGTAGAAATGGAAGAGTGAACAGAGAGGAGGAGAAAAAAAACAGAATATGCTATAATAGAAGCTAAGAAAAGACAGCGTTTACTCTTGGAAGCAGGAGTGGTCAACAATGCTGAATGCTGGTTGGAGGTCCAACCAGTGTTATAAAGTATCTTGAAAAATTGGAAGACTTCCAGTTTCAGTCCAGCATGTAAGGAACTTAAAAGTTACCACTCTGTCCTAACAAGTAAAAATCTGAACAAACTGAAAAATCAGCAACTCTTTTTACAGTAGATTGATCAGAGAAGTAAGGTCACAAAGCAAAGTGTTGCACCAAAACTTGGAAAGACAGAGGGAAAAGGAACCATTTTGAAACACACCATAGTATTCTGTTCTTAACAAAGCCTGTCCTCAGGAAAAGGTATTTTACCAGAGCTTAGGTTGTTAGGGTAACATCAGAGCCTAACCTACCTGGGGGAAGGGAAATACTCAACTCTAGCTCCCTCTAGCCTTCCACATATGGAAATGGAAATACACAACTACAGCCCCTTCTAGCCATGCTGCCCCACCTAAAAGGGCAGGGGTGGGGGTTGGGAGGATGGGACTGAGAAGCACTGGTGAAGTTCACAGTCCAGGGCACAGGGTAAACAAAAAACCTGAGACCTAATCACAGAACTATAGACTGCTTCCTGTCCTGCCTCGCCTTACTAAAGGCCTATTCATCACAGTTCCTATAGTATGCCATGTCTATTTTAGAAACAGAAAGAACAGAAGTAGTAACATTGAAGCAATAATGACTAACACTTTCCCAAAATTAACGTCAGACACCAAACCACAGATCTAGGAAGCTCAGAGAACACCAAGCAGGATAATGCTAAAAAAGCTACATGTGGTCATATCATATTTGAACATTGGAAAAATCAAATGGAAAGAAAAAAACTTGAAAGAAGCCAGAGAGAAAAGACACCTTACCTATAGAAGAGCAAAGATAAACATTACAGACCTTAAGTGTTGAGAAATTATCCTTCAAAAGTCAAGGAGAAATAAAGATTTTCTCAGGCAAACAAAAATTGAGGGAATTTGTTGCCAGTAAGCCTGACTTGTAAGAAATATTAATATAAGTTTTCCAGGAAAAAGCAAAATAATGTGTCAGGATAGATTTATCTATCCTAACCAATGTACCACTGTGGTGTAGTATGTCAATAGCAGGGGAGGTTGTGCATGAGTTGGGACAAGGAGTTTATGGGAACTTTGTACAGGGATTTGCTGTGAACCTCAAACTGCTCTGAAAAATAAAGTTTGTTAATTTGTTAAAGTCAATTGCGTTTAGAATCAAGAAGGAAAACTGATGACTTTAGCAAGAATAATTTTAGTGGACTAGTGAGAAGCAAACTAGATTGGCATCAGTTGAAAAGGTATAAAAATTGTGGAAATATAAAAATATAAAAATAAATTGGGACATCAGCAACATAAAATGTTTGTGTGTAGGGAAAATAAATATGTAGAACTTTTTATGCAATTGAAGTTAATTTGTTATCAGCTTAAAATAGACTTATAATAGACTGTTAAGATGTATTATGAAAGCCTTATAGTAATCACAAAGCAAAAATCTGTAAGAGATGTGCAAATGTTAAAGAATGAAAGCATACCACTACAAAAAAATTATCAATTCACAAAGAAAGACAGCAAGAGAGGAAGAAAGAACTACATAACAATCAGAAAGCAATTAACAAAATGGTGATAGTCCTTACTATAAATAAGTCCTTACCTATTAATAATTACTATAAATATAAATGGTTTAAATTCTCCATTTAAAAGACATAGAGTGGCTGAATGAAAAAAAAATCCAACTACAGAGGGTGCCAAAAAATGTATACATTTAAAAAAAATTTTTTTTATTAAATTATTTTTTATTATGAAATACTGTATACACATTTAAGAAAGGAAAAAACTATTAAAATTGTAATACTCAATATATACCAATAACAAAAGATGAATACAAGTCATGTGTATATATATTTTTTGGCACCCCCGGTATATTGGTCTCTACCCCCAGTTTCTGGCACAGAGCTCCTGAACCCTTGCAATTTCCTAGGAGCATCTCTTGTTTTATTATCTGGTCTTTGGCCCCATCCCTGACACAGGTCTCCTAAAACCCTTGTAAATTCCTAAGCAATAAGAGCACTAGAGGAGCTTTTGTTTTAATGAGGCACTCTGGGTGGGCTCCTGGATGGGGTCTGGTCACCAGAAAGAGGAAGTCATAATTAGAAACTTGGAATTTTCAGCCCCAGCTGGAACTGAAGTTAATTGATCATGCCTATATGAGGAAACCTCAATGAAAATCCCAGTAAGAAGGGGTTCAGAGAGCTTCCAGGTTGGCGAACACACCCACACTGGGAGGCTGACACACCCCAATTCCACAGCGACAAGCTCCTGTGGTCAGGACATTCACAACCCTCGCCCTATGTATCTTTTTATCTGGATGTTCATATTTATCCTTTAATAAATTGGTAAATGTGTTTCCCTGAGTTCTGTGAGCCAGCCTAGCAAATTAATTGAATCTGAGGAGGGAGTGATGGGAAACTCCGATTTGTAGCCAAAATCAGACAGAAGCTGTGGGTAACCTGGGGACCTCATACTTAGGATTGGCATCTGAAGTAGAGTAGGAGCAATTTTGTGGGACTGAACCCTTAACCATGAGAGCTGACACCACTATCTTCAGGTAGTAAATAGTGTTAGAATTGAGTTGAATTGCAGAACACCAGCTGGTGTTGCAGAGAATTGCTTGTTGTTGGGAAAACCCCTCCATACATTTGGTGACCAGAAGTGTCAGAAGTGTGAGTGTTTTCTGAGACTCACAGGAGAAAGGCTCATAGGAGGGAAAACTGAGGTATTTTTCTTTACAACTCCCATTTATAATAGGATCAAAAACAATAAAATATTTAGAGATAAATTTAACCAAGGAGGCAAAAGACCTGTGTACACTGAAAATTATCAAACATTGATGAGATAAATTGAAGAAGATATAAATGGAAAGGTATCCTATGTTCTTGGATTGAAAGAATTAATATTGTAAAAATGTCCATACTACCCAAAGTGATCGGCAGAGTCAATGCAACCCCTATAAAAATTCCAATGGCGTTTTTCTCAGAAATAGAAAAACTACCCTAAAATTTGTATGGAACCACAAAAGACCCCAAATTGCCAAAGCAATCTTGGGAAAGAAGAACAAAACTGGAGACATCACTCGTTCTGATTTCAATCTATATTACAAAGCTACAGAAATGAAAACAGTATGGTACTGGCTTAAAAACAGGCATATAGACCAGTGGAACAGAATACAGAGCCCAGAAATAAACCCATACATTTATGGCCAAATAATTTTAAGGGTGCCAGGAACAGAAAATGGGGAAAGGATTGTTTCTTCAATAAGTGGTAATAGGAAAATTAGATCTCTACATGCAAAAGAATAAAACTGGACCTTTATCTTACACCACTCACAAAAAT